AGAATATTGCCCTCGCAGCTCTCCAAGAAACACGTCTCAAGAACCTAGCGTTCAGAGATGATCACTATATGATCAGGTGCCACCCGGCTGAAAGGGGACATGGCGGTGTCATGTTAGCCCTCAATACCTTGCTCTTCCAGATCATTGAGGCTGATGGTCAGGTGCGGCGAATTCATGAAGATCAATGGACGGTGGTGGCGAGCTCACACAGGTTCATTTTGACGAGATTGTGGGCCGGCTCTGTGGATCTCCTTATTGCCAATCTTCATGTGCCACACAGTGGGCACACGGAGGCTGAGCTCACTGACTTCTGGGAGGCCTTCCAACGAGCAATACCAGACCATCTAAGAGGCAAGGAAATGATCTTGATGGGAGATTTCAACGCAAGGGTTGGTCAAGTGACCTCTACGGCCATAGGAGCTTGGGGCGGTGAGGAGGAATCCATAGCTGGAGGACTTCTGCATGAGTTCCTTCTGCGGCAAGGCCTCTTTTTGCCTGCCACCTTCGAGGGTATACATGAGGGACCTGCATACACATGGACCCACCCCAATGGAGCCACTGCACGTTTGGACTATGTGGCTATTCCTTTGAAGTGGAGTACTACCAGATTGCGTACTTGGAATGATCTTGGGCTTCAGGCCCATCAACATTTGCATGATCATCTGGCCACCTGCATGCAGCTCACTGCTGCCATTGGCGGAAGCACTGAGCTCACACGGAGCCGTCGAGCACCACCCAGAGAGAAATTGGATGTGCTTCATGGGCCATTTGTGATGCGACAGGTTGTTGATACTATGGCTCCGATCCCATGGAACTTGGACATGCATCAACATGCACATGAGCTCGTGAAACGCTTCAACCAAGGCATACAGAAGATCCTTCCTTTGAGGGGGCGCTTTCACCGTAAGCCCTATCTTGCTACAGACACCAAGGATGCCATCATCGTGAAGGCGGCCTGGAGGAAGACCATGTTGCAGCTGCAAACTTGGATGAAGCAACATACCTTGAGGACATGTTTCTGGGCATGGGCACACTCGGCCCAGTCCCCCTCTTGGGAATGGCTGGCGGCTCTCGAAAGCCTTATGGGAAGGCATTGGGCTCATGCACTGAAGCATTTCCGTCAGGTGCGAAACCAGACCACTACTCTTTTGAGGAGAGATGCCAACCACTTCTTCGAGCAGCTGAAGCAGAGCTGGGGTGAAGTTGACTGCAGTGGAAGCACTCGTGAGTTGTGGCAGAAGGTCAAGATGTACCTCCCTAAGATGCAGATGAGACGGGAAGTGCGCAGTGCACAGCAACAGGAAGCGATGAGGGAACAATGGGAACCCCATCTTTGCCGGTTGGAGGCTGGCACACCCACCCAATTGAAGGAACTCTATGAGGAGGTGCTTGCGAAGCCACAGGAAGAAGAAGAGAACTGTGTGCACCACTTCGCGGACCTCCCGACCCTTACAGCAATAGAAGTCTCCCTCAGGCGCACTAAACCTGGGAAGGCTAGCGGCCCAGATGGCCTGGAGTCTACGTGGCTTCATTGTGCAGCTGGGTGCATGGGCACATGGGTGTACGACGCTGTGTTGAAGATGATGTACACCATGAAAGAGCCCATTCAATGGAAAGGCGGCACCCTCTACATGTTGCCAAAGGTAATCCAGCCCACAGAACCTTCGCAATTCAGAGGGGTGATGCTTCTTGGAGTACTCGTCCGTCGGATCCACGCCCTATTTCGGGATGCCCTCATGGCTCAAGTTTCAGAACAGTCACCACCTGGACAACTAGGCGGATTTCCACATCAAGAGTGCCTCTTTGGAAGTCTTTATGTGCGCACTTTGATGAGGCGCGCCTACCAGGCTAAGCTTCCCAGCGCCATTCTCTTTGTGGACTTGAGGGCGGCATTTCACTCCTTGGTGAGGGAGCTGGTTCTCGGGAAGGAGCTAGGCGGACATGTGGACTTGATGGCGCTTCAAGAAACTTTGAAGAAGGAAGGTTTCGAGGATGACCTCATACACAAGATGACGCACTCTCATGGAGTTCTACCTGAAGGGCCTCTGAAAGCACTCATGCGTGAACTACACGGCTATACATGGTCCACTATCCATGGTAGAGGCGTGCGTACCGCAAGAGGTTCACGGCCAGGGAGCCCTTTGGCGGATGCTTTGTTCCACTGCTTGATGAGCCCCATTGTTGCAAAGATTGAAAATCACTTGCAGGCCCGGCCACAGCAGCGGCATGCTCGAGAAACCCTTGGCAGTCAAGCGGTACAAGTGGTGTGGGCAGATGATCTCGCTGTACCACTCCTCGCTACTAGCAATGCTGACATGGAGGCAGAGATCAGGTATGCCTTTGGTGTTGTCTTTGACGTTTTCCATGAATATGGCATGACGCTCAATATGAGCAGAGGCAAAACAGAAGTCTTGGTGACTTATGCTGGCTCAGAAGCCCGTGCATTCCGAGAACGACTTCGAAGAGAGCCCCAGATGAATGTGCAGGTGGGAACATCGTCATCTACCATGTGCCTTGTCCTGGGGAATGCATACAAGCACTTGGGGACTACCATGGCCGCGGCAGGACGTCTCCACCTTGAAGTCAAGCGCAGAGTAGGACAGGCATGGGGTGCATTCCGGCAACTTGCTCGGCCAGTCTTTTTGAACAAGGCTCTCAAGGAATCCACACGCATTTTCTTGCTGGAGACATTGGTTTTCACTAAGCTGCTTTATGGATGTGGCAGTTGGAATGGCCTAACTCTAGCTGATGAGCACAAGCTTTCGGTCTGCTACTTGGGTTTGCTTAGGCGGACTCTGGGACAGGTGAAGACTCATGATGCTGAGGTTCTTAGTGACTTGGCCATCTTGCAACGGACGGGATGTGCACCGATCATGGTGCGGATCTCGCAACAACGATTTCTTCTCGCTGCACGGGTGGCTCGTTTTGCACCTTCCTTTGTGCACGAGGAGTTGCTCCGGGAAGAGGCTGAGATGGCGCAAAGCTGGCGAGGCATGGTGACGGAAGACCTTGGCTGGCTTCATGCCATGGTGGATCTCTCGAAATGGGGGACTACCCTGCCGGCGCTTTGGGAGGCTTGGCAGCATCAGAAACCAGGCTGGCAACATGTGCTGCGGAAAGCAGTGCAAAAATACCGGTGCATTATGCATCTTTTGCACACTGCGCCTGTGGAGCGGGGTGAGGAAGAGGAAACTCTTCAGGATCTCTGGATGAAGGTGCACTGCAGATGCCATTGCGGGCAAGGTTTTGCCTCCTTGAAAGCGCTGCGAATGCATCAGATGACAGCCCATTCGTGGCGCACGCCAATCTCGGGATATCTTCATGGGGCAACCTGTCCAGTATGCCTCAGGCATTATTGGACGAAGAATCGCCTTCGAATCCACTTGAGGTATGTCTCCCGGAAGGGCATTGGCAACACATGTGCCTCTTGGTTGCAAGCCTTTGGAGTGAGCGAGGAAGCGCGTGAGGATCTTCCTGCAGATCCTTTTGTTGCCCTGAAAGGGGCATGCAGAGTGGAGGCAGTGCAGCTTCATGGACCTCGGGTTTTTGGGGCTACTGTTGATGATGTCGCCACTTTGGAGCAGGAATTTCTTGACCTCAAGGACGAGCTTGAGAGGTCGGGGGTCTCTTTCCATCCGGATCCTGACTTCTTACAAGCCATTGGAGAAGAATGCGCACAGGCTGTTGCCAATGGAACTGCAACGAAGACCTTCTACCAGCAATGGGAAGATGTTGACATGGGCATTTTGCTCGGCATGGTTTTCCTGTGAGGCATGCAAACCGACCTTGACGAGAAAGGCATGCACTGGTGGAGGAATTGCTTGACGTCTGAGCCGCAGGGTAGGACGCTTGTTCAGTTGCATGATTGGGCCGTCATGATCCAAAAAGCATGGCAGGTCCACAGGGAGCGGCCGTCCCGGCCGCCCTACCGTGGCCCACAGAGAGGCCTGGATGGTTTGCACCGTGTTCGGATCCCGTTTTGCCCGGAAGTGGCAACACCAACTGGGGATCTGATTGTTCGGCACTGTACAGTTCGGGAGCTGCGCAAAGCTCTGTTCCGCTGACATGCCGTGCTTAATTTAGCTTTTGGCTTTAGCCGCTGACCTCCACAAGCCAACTGGCTTCCGAACGGAAGCGAATGAAATGAAATGAAATGAAATAGTGGCTGAATGGGCAAAAGGTACGTTCATCCATATACTTTGATGTTTTATGGCAATTCTTGAGAAACATACGTGAGGATATAAACCGGACAGGGGTTCGTCTGCGCACGGGAAATCGGATCGTCTGTACACGTGGTGACGGGGATGGTTTGTACGCGCGGGGATCGTATGTACACGCGGCTTCCGTATGCGGGGTGCCTAAACAGTGGCGATACTTTGGGTTCTTACGGTAGGTGCAAAGGCCGGGTGTTGATCCAGGGTGCTCAGATGTGTGTGAGCCCCACCCTTCCCCACCCAACCCACCCCAACCCCAACCCCAACCCCACCCCACCCCACCCCCGCACCCTTACTTCAACGCTGGGATATTAGATATGAATGCTAGTCGAAGTGAACGTCATTAGCCCCACCCCACCCCACCCCACCCGATGTGCCCTGTGTGCGCAGATGATCCAGATTTGTGTGCGCAGATGATCCAGATCTGTGCGCGCAGATGATACCCTGTCCCCGGTAGAGTTTGTGTTCATGAGCTTCCCATTGATGATTTTTACAAAGGACTGCAAAACCTGTAGGAACTGCTTTGAATATAGAAGAGGTCACTGTGATAAACATAGAGCAAAATATAAAGAACAACAAAGACCACAAATATCAAATGATGCGGACAAGAAAATGAAGAGGTAGAAAAATTGTCACTTGTTTTGTTTGTAATTGTTCCTTGTGTTATGTGAAACCCCAAAACATCTAAGAATGGTATAACCTTCACTTATTTTGCAAGTTCAAAGGCCTTGCCGCACGGTGAAGGAAATGGTTTCGGATCGCAGTTCGAAACCTTTCGACCTTCAGGACGGTGCTGATCAGCGGTGAGTCTGGAGCGGGGAAGACGGAGACCACGAAGTTCGTGATGTTTTGGCCTTAGTTCTCGTTTTTTGCTTCGGAAGAGAAAAGGAAGGAACACGTAGAAAAACAAACAAAAATAGAACAGAAATACAACTCGAGGCCTGAAGAACCTACTAGCAATGGCCTCCATTGCAAACTTCTTTAAAACAGTTTTGTACCGGACGTCCTGAAGTGAAGTTGGACGCCCCATCAGACACCTTGCCAAGCAGTTTCGCAATCGAAACCATTCGAAAAAGCGCCGCTGACACGCCAATCTCAATGGCATAGTGACAATCGAAACACGCACCGATTGTCGCAACCCCACGAATACGGCAACCATCAGCCACAAAAGTGGACTGCCAACTCCAACACGGAAGAACTACCCCTGCGAGTAACAATGCCACACCTCCGTGTGAAAACTTCCACTACGCCACACGATTCCACGCGGCCCAATGGGAATTTGGACGTGGAATGCGCATGCCAATGGCACTTTGTCACAAAGACCGACTTGACTCTCTGAGACTTGAAAGAGGAAGAAATGTCATTCGAAAAAGAACAGAGAACACAGAGAACTTAATAGCAATGGCCTCCGAACCTAGGAGCAATGGCCTCCAACCTACTAGCGATGGCCTTCAACCTACTAGCAAAGGCCTCCAACCTACTAGCGATGGCCTCAAACCAACTAGCGATGGCTTCCAACCTAAGAGCAAAGGCCTCCAAACCCAGAGCGATGGCCTCCAACCTAAGAGCGATGGCCTCCAACCTACTAGCGATGGCCTCCAACCTACTAGCGATGGCCTCCGACCTAAGAAATGGCCTCCAACCTACCAACCTACTAGCGGCGGTCTCCAACCTGCTAGCGATGGCCTCCATCCTAAGAGCAATGGCCTCCAACCTAAGAGCGTGGCCTACTAGCGATGGCTTCAAACGTAAGAGAAATGGCCTCCAACCTACCGGCGATGGCCTCCAACCTAAGAGCAATGTCCAACTTAATAGCAATGGCCTCCATCTTAATAGCAATACCCTCCAACTCCAGAGCGATGGCCTCCAACCTCCTCCAACCCCAGAGCAATGGCCTCCAACCCCAGAGCGATGGCCTCCAACCTAAGAACAATGGCCTCCAACCTAAGAGCAATGGCCGCCTACCTAAGAGCGATGACCTGCAAACTAAGAGATGGCCTCCAACCTGTTTAAGAGCGGTGGCCACCAACCTAAGAGCAATGGCCGCCAACTTACTAGCGTTGGCCTCCAACCTACTGGCAATAGCCTCCAACCTAAGAGCGATGGCCTGCAACCTACTAGCGATGGCCTCCAACCTAGCATCTATGGCCTCTAACCTACTGCGATGGCCTCCATCCTCAGAGCGATGGCCTCCAACAGCAAAGCGATGGTCTGCAACCTACTAGCGATGGCCTCCTACCTGCTTGCGATGGCGTCCAACCTACGAGCAATGGCCTCCAAGCCTGAAGAAAGAACGATGAGACTTCGTGATCACGTGTTGCTTCCAGGAAGTTCTTGGCGATGGCCGGAGCATCTGATGGTGAGGTGACCAACGTTGGCTCCTTAGGCTTCTTAGGAGCCCAAACAATTTCTTGAGGATTACATTAAAAAGGAAAGAAGTAATTTTGTACACCTTAGAAACCAGAAAGGATATTCGGATTTTCGCGTGTTTGTAAAAGCACCTGTGCACATCTGCGCTTGTCAGAAAGCATTCAACGCTTTTTATGACACATTTTGGGACGCGTTCGAGGTGGAAAAGCAGGTTTTGGAATCCAATCCACTCTTGGAAGCTTTTGGCAATGCTCGAACTTTGAGGACCGAAAAAGGTACAAATCAAAGAGATTAAGATCTGTGTACCTGTGATTAAGATCTGTGTTTTGTGTACGTCTCACCTCGTTAACGGACAAGGGTAGGACAATATTGATCACTGTTTCTTTTTTGCTCAAGTGCGTGCTTGTTTGCGAGGACTTTTTCACTAGCCTTTCCTTTCCTGCTTCCCGTTTGTTGCTTTTCTTTATTTCGCTTTCTTCTTTATTTCCCTCCACTCTTTCCAGAGGAATGACAACTCCAGCCGCTTTGGCAAGTTCATCGAGCTGCAGTTTCGCAGCAGTGGCAAGGCTTGCAGCAGCAGTTTGTGCAATGCAAAAGAACCAGCACAAGGTCTCAAAGCATTTCTTGTTTGAAGGGGGGTAGGCTGCCAAGAGCTAGCCAAGTAGCTATAGTTAGTTAGGTGGCGGATACGGCAAGAACTCTCGCAAACAGTTCTTAGAGAGATTACAGGTCAACTGCTGAACTTTCGGTCCACACCCGGTGGGTCCACAAACGCGTTTGTTTCGGCTGAAGCACTTTCTTACTTCAGGCTGTGGGTGAATCAACAGCCTCAGGCTTCACGTCAAAGGGCAATCACTGCTGTTTGAGCCAAAATCCAAACCTCAATCACCTGCCTGTGCTAGGGGGATTGCATAGGAAGGCCACTGCAGATTCGGCAGAGGGTTGACGATTGCAGAAGCGAGGCTGTGGGAACCGCTTGAGAGACAGTGTCATCGGAGCCAGAGAACCCAGATCCTTGGAGTGAGGCTCCATCCTTCCAACTCCACCCCTCACAACCACAACTTGGGTGCCAAGTTGCATCGCAGTGCCTCAAATCCGCCCCCATCTGGCGGTGTTGAGGGAGAGTTTGTACTTTCTATTGACCCTCGCAACGTTTTGTGTTACATGCGCCTGACGGAAGTCCTACGACCGGACAATGACAATGCCATCCTGCCGGCTGAAGTAAGAGCGAATTTTCTGAAAATTCGCCAGGGCTTGGGAGTGATCAGTTCCAGAGCGTTGAGCGGAAGCGAGTACTTGACTGCAGGTGCAGCGAGGCGCCTGCCTTGTGTAAAATCGAGGACTCAAGGGAAGCCGTCAGCTGCTTGTGCCCATTTGCCAAGGAGAGGGTGAAGACGCCCAGGTCAGAGATCCTTGCGCGCAGTACTGCAAGTCAGAATGCTATTCCAAGTCAGTACAAGTCAGACATGTTTCTCATTGTGCGCCGTGAATTTTCGCAGACGTGGGGTTGGCCGACCAGCGACGCCGTGCGCGTACGAGCAACATCGCTCAACATCGCATTCGGAAAGATCTTTCAGTGACTAAGTCGGTCGCTTCTGGAAGGTCCAAGCCAAAGGTTTTGTGTGCACTTTTGTGGGCCCCACTGCGTTCGTGGAAGCGCATACTACTTCGACCGAGGCACCGCCTCCGGAATCGGTATATGAACTGTCATCGATCTCGACTTGGTCCCACTTCCAAGTCCGTCACGTTCCCGGTCCAACCGTTTGTCACGTCCGAGAGAAACCGTCGTAGATCGGGTTGGTTTTAAGAGGGGCGATCCAAGAGATGCCAAGGGGCGCCCAAGCACCAAAAGCCGTGCTGAAACCAGCCAACCCGTCGCCAGAAGGTATTATAGGCAAGGGCGAAAGGTCCGGTCCAATTGCAAGGCGCAAGCCCAACAAGAAACCTTTCGTTCCGCTTTGCCGCACACAACGGTTCTGAAGGCAAACGGCCGCCAGTGAGTTGCCGTCCGCAACACGCATCGTTGTCACGGTCCTATTGAGTCTCTCGAGCAACGCCCTCAGCACGGGCAGCATATTTGAGCTTTGAGACGTGGTCGGCGCCTCTCTCAACTCGCTGCCACGCCGGCGCACTATGAGATGAGCGGAGTGCCTTGATTTGGGCTGTTGTCAGTGGTGTTTGAGATGGCCTGAAATTGGCCCTTCAACAGGTCCAACCTCCACCCTGCCGCAAGAAACCACTGATCCATTGATGTTCATCACTCCCAATGGGAAGTGAGAGTACCGCTATGTGCGTGATCTGTGGCGCTCCATCCCTACCGCGGATCTCTTGAAGCGCCGCTTTCGTTCGGAGTTGGTGGGGCTTGGCTCTTTTTTTGCTTTCCAATTCCCAGAGAGAGCGATGATGACCTCCAAACATGGCTCTCCTGCAGAAGACTGCAGCAGTCTTGAGTCGGATCGATGGGGCAGTGGCGGCCTCGGCAGGCTGACTTGAGGCTGTATGATGCAGGAACGGGCCCGCCATACCAGGCCGCCCACGAAACGCCTCGCGCGCAGATGACGCTGCAACGACTTTCGACTGATGAAAGCGAAACAGAAGAAACACATGACATGTTTTGTCGTCTCTTGTTTGCGTGCGGTAGTCCTTCATGTTATAGCTTCTCGCTGTGGTTCCAATGTGGTCGGTCGGGAGCAGGGCGCTCACAACCCACAGCTTTTGCCGTTCACAATTGAAACTGTGGAGCCCTGCGCTGGTTTCTTCGTTCCTCAATCTTTGCAGTCATTTGCTGCAGGATGCGGCTTCTTTGGGCGTCGCGGGCGAAAACTGTCGCCTTTGTGGTGCTCGGATTCAAACCTATCTATTGGAAAAGGCCGGGGAAAAGGAACGGAGTCAAGAAACAAGTGAACGAGTATGGGACCCCGCTTGGGACGTGTTTTCTTGCAGGTGCGGGTTTGTGATCAACAGGAAGGTGAGAGGAACTACCACCTCTTCTACGAGGACGACGAATGAAACGAAACAAAGCAACACGATGACGAGTGTGACGGAGTTTGTTTTGGGGCTTGAGGGCTGGAGCAAAAAACGAAACAGTTCACAGATTGTTTGTTTCGCTGTCAGGCATGCGCAGCAGCGGCCTTGGCCTCTCAATCCAACTACTCGTGCGCCGTTTGCGTTGGCACGAGTGGCAACTCTGTCGGAACCCGCCGTGTCAGACCGCAGTTCGGTTCACACCCGCGTGGCAAAGTTCGAACTGGTGCGAGAGTTAGCGCCCGCATGCACCTGAGTGTGTCATCTCTGAAACTGAGCTCGAGTTGAAACCAGGCAGTTGGTCATCGGCTATGAACCTTCAGTCGGTACAAAGCTGCCAGATGGCACTGCAGACAGAGAAGATAGCTGCAAACTTCGTCGCAGTTTCCGGTTTGTGGTGACATCGACTGTTCACGTGAATTTGGAAGTCGTAAATTGTTTTTTCCTGAAAGTTTGTTCAACTTCATCCGTGTTCTTTTCTCCGTTCTCATGCCTTGAACAGAACATCTTCCTATCTTACCTTCTCTTTTCTTTCTTTGTTCTTTCCTTCTTTCTTCCCTTATCTTCTCTTCCTTTCTTTTCCTTCTCTCTTCGTTTGAAAAAAGGTACCCTCAGAGGATCCAAAACGTCAAGAAGGAACTCACGCTCAACTTGGAGGCGCAAGCGAGCTCGGAGTTTCGCACCGGAAACGGCAAAAAGACGAACGAACCGAAGAACAGATTGGAGAATTCCTTCGTTTTGTTTCGTTTCAAAACGAGAAGAATTTGCGAAATATGATAGAATATGCACAAAAAAACAACAGTTTGGCATTGCAAATGTCATGTGTCACTTCGGCAGGGCTTCAGCGACCTTTCAACTTTCGCTTACCTCACCCGTTCATCCTGCAAGACTTTGTGGCTTGGATGTGGTTTTTGAAAAGAAGAAAAGAAAAAACAACATGACATCTCCCTCGACGGTGCGCAGCCAGGAAAGATGTCGATGACATTGAGATGTTCGAGCGGCGTATCCATGTGCGGCACTGTCTTTCGGGAGCAAAAACGTAAAGCTATGGATTCCATCCGGACGGATTCCTCTCTCGATTCCGGTTTACCGGTGCGATGTACCATTTTTGCAATGTGTCAGTTCCGCCGACATCCATTCTTACAGCGGCTTTGTGTGAAGCGTGGTGTTGCGTGGGTGAAGTGATAAGTGGAGAGGAAAGACGTTCGTACAAAAACGTTGTGAGAAGCTGTGTGCAAACTGCAAAAGTGTCAAATGGCGTGTCTACATGGAGTTTCTAATTGTTTGTGTTAACGCCGTGCGTCGCAATCCACATGCTGTTTATGTACTCACGGGGGTGGACGGTATACCCGTGCCGTCTGCCTAAAGTTAAAGATCTC